GTGTGTGTGTGTGTGTGTGTGCGCGCGCGTGCGCGCGCACGTGTGCACAGGCATCATGGCAAATGTTTGGAGGTCCGAGAACAACTTGTGAGAGTTGGTTCTCACCTCCTACAATGTGGGTCTCAGGGATCTAACTCAGGTCGTCAGGCTTGGCAGCAAGTGCCTTTACCCACTGAGCCATCTTGCCTCTCCAACTTTCTTCTTTTTCTTTCTTTCTTTCTTTTTTTGAGACAGGGTCTCCCTGTAGCCCCAGCTGGTCTGGAACTTACTATGTAGACCTGGCTGGCCTCAAACTCACAGAAATCCACCTGCCTCTGCCCCCCAAGTATTGGGATTAAAGGTGTGTGCCACCAGCCTGACCTCTTTTTCTTTTTTTAAGATTTATTTATGTTTTTAGGGGAGGTACTGGAGAGATTCCTCAGTGGTTAAGAGCACTGGCTGTTCTTGTGAAGACCTGGGTTTGAATCTCAACATCCATATGGCAGCTAACAACTGCCTGTAACTCCAGTTCTGGCAGATCTAACATTCTCTTCTGATCTCCCCGGGCACTGCATGACACAAGTGCACTTACACACATGCAGGGATAACGTGGGTATGCATGTTTTGCTTGAATGTGTATACATGTGCCTGGTGCTGAAGAGTCCAAAAGAGGGAGTCAGATCCCCTGGAACTGGAGTTACAGACGGTTGTTAGCTATCATGTGGGTGCTGGGACCTTGGTTCTCTGGAAGAGCTGTAGGAACTCCTAACTGTTGAGTCATCTCGCCAGCCCACCCTTCATCTTTATTCTTTAGGACATTTTGGTGAGGTTGAAGTTGGCTACAGCTCCCCTGTCCATGCACACAATGGTGGCTCATACGTGGTAGATCTGTGAAATGTTCACCTGGACCCCAGGCAAGGACTCCTGGGCCTTCTTTGCTCTTTCCCATATCATACATGAGCACTGGGGCAAAGAGCCTTGGCTAGGGTCCTTTCCTATTTAGCCGCCATCTCCTGCCTGGTGCCTTGTTTGACTCCTCTTCATAGCATAAAACAGTTCCCCTCCTGTCTCACCATGTCAAACATGTACTCTGCTGCATCGCAAACCCATCCCTCCTCAGAGCTGCTTATTCTATAGATCAGGGTGAGGCTGTGGAGGTTACCCTTTAGCCTAGACTGTACTTTTCTGGCCCATAGCCCCCCCCCCCCCATGCTGTTTGGGATGATTGTGGGGCTGGTTTTGGTTTGTCAGTATGTTCTGAGATCTCAATGAAGCTGAGCCCTCCATTCTGAAATCTAGCTAGGAAACCCTGGAATACCCTCTTGATTTTCCTGCATCTGACCCTTGGCAAGGCTTCTCTCAGAATCTGCTCACTTGCTGAAATCCTATATAGTACTGTAGAGATGTAGTTTTTGCCTAGTCCATTTCTGGTTTGGACTGGCTCAAGCACCATTTCCTGCGAGCCCCCAAACATCTGCCCTAAGCTCTTAGACTCTGACACTTAAGCATAGTTATTGGAGTGAATTTGATCCATGTAGAACAAACAGGAAACTCCTTCCTGAGGTCCATGAGCCCCAACTTTATCCCTCTGTGACACTTCATCTGGAATTGAGCCCCTTCTGTTTTTCACTCATCACCGGCTTTTGCTCATCTCTGCAGCTTTTCATGTGAAATGGAGCCTTCTAAATCCTTTTCATTATTTTGATAAAGTCATCCAGGTATGTGATGAATATAGCACACCAGTGTTCGGTGAAAAAAATGATGTCCTGTCCCCCTCCCCCAGCTTTCCTCCTGAGACACCCACCTGTTCCTCACAGAGCATGGTTGGACTTTTGTGATCATCCTGGAATATTCTGTAGATTCTGTATGCAAATATTGTTGTATATATCATGTCTTTTCATGTCTTTTTGGGAAGTTGTGTGTTGGCCCACTAACGCTGCTAGGTGTGTTTTGTTTTGTGACTGGACCTAGGTTGGAGAGTGTCGTCCATCAGTCCCTGAAGAGATGCCTGTCATTCTTGGTGCTGGGGATAGAACCCCGAGCCTGCTAGGCAAGTGCTCACCACTGAGCAGTACTGCCTCATTAATCTTCTGGTGGGGGTGTTGAGATTGTATTTTACTGGAACTCACAATAATCCTTTTACCATAGCCCCTTAGTGCTGAAATTACAGACAGGTACCTGTGATTACCTTGTGTATGAGTGTTTACCTGCATGTATGTGTGTGTGTGTGTGTGTGTGTGAATGTGTATTGCATGTGCTTGCAGTACCAGTAGAGGTCAGAAAGGGCATTGGATTTCTTAGAACTGGAGTCACCTTTCCAGCCCTTGTATCTTCAAAAAAAAAACTATATTGAAGAGCTAGGCGTGGTGGCGCACGCCTTTAATCCCAGCACTCAGGAAGCAGAGGCAGGTGGATCTCTGTGAGTTCAAGGTCAACCTGGTCTACATAGTGAGTTCCAGGCCAGCTGAGGCTACTGGGAGACACTGTCTCAAAAAAAGACCCCCCCCCCAAAAAAAAACTATTGTTTTATAAGTGTACATGTTTGTGTGTGTGAGAGTGTGAGTGTGGGTATACACATGCCTCACAGGACTCATTCTCTCCTTTGCACCATTTGGGTTTTGGGGACTGAACTCAGGTCATTGGGCTTGGTGGCATGTGACTCACCAACCTGTCCCACCAGCCCAGGCTGTTCCTTGTTACTGAGCTTCCTCAGTAACAAGCCTTTGGGCTAACCCTTTGAGCTCTCCAGGCCTCAGTTCTGATATCTGGGACAGACTTTAGACTTGACTCTCTTCACCTCACCATGCCTGTGGCTGGCATTTAGTTTCCCCAAGGGTTGAGTCTCCAGAACATTTGCCCAGGATTTTTTTGGTCGGCAGGTGAGTCTGAGGAGTCCCATCCTGTGGATTGAGCTGCTTGATTGGTTGTTGTCTTGCTTTATGAGTCAGTCTGACTCACCTTCCAGTCAAAAGGTACTACCCAGACCTCCTGGTGGGTTTTGGACCTTGTCCTCACCATCAGCATATGAGGAGAGAGAGAAAGAGATACAGAGACGAAAGGAGAGATAAAGCCAGAAAAAGAGAGATTTCTCCTGTGCTGGGTGGTAAGACCAAGAACCTTTTCTGCTTTCTGTTCTTGGTCCCTTTGGTCCCTTTTACTTCTTCTGGTGACTGAGGCTTCCGTTCCTCAGGAAGTGAGGTACACCACGCTGTGCCACTGTCCCTAAGCAAACAAGACCACCATCAAGTGTGGAACAGACTGTGGTCCTTATAGGTGAAGGTGGTGGAGAATGACATCAAGCTAGATTGCAGGAATGGGGTGGTATTTTTCAAGTGAGAATCATTGTGTCTTTGGAGAGCATTCTGAACAGGATGTGGGGGCTGGGCATGAGAACTTCCCAGTGGGAGGGGCTTCTTACTCTTCCTTAGCTGAATGGACGTGAATAAGTGTGGGAGACAGTTTCCTTGAAGTGATCGTGATTTTTCTTGATTTCTTGATTTTGCTATTGGCTAAGGAAACAAGTATTTGGTGCTTCTGTGACAACTTTTGGTGGCTTGGTGTATTAGTTATTTTTCTTGTTCCTGTGACTAAATCCCTATCAAAGCAACTTAAGGTAGGATTGGGTTGACTTTGGCTTCCAGTTTGAAGGGATACAATCCACCATGCTAGGGAAGTCCTGGTGGCAAGACGTCCGTCCATGGTAGCAGGAGTGTGCGTCTGTGTTCCTCACCTATTAATGTCCAGAACTGGAAGTAGAAATTGTATGGGAGGGAAGGTTTGGTCATTAAAACCTCTAGGCTCGCCCCCAGTGGCCCACTTCTTCCAGTGAAGCATCTTCTCCTGAAGGTTCTACAACCTTCAGCAGCTGAGGACCAAGTGTTAAAGCACATGAGCCCAGGCTAGGGAAATGGCTCAGCAATTAATAACACTGGTTGCTTCTTGCAGAAGACCCAGGGTTCGAATCCCAGCACCCACATGATAGCTTAACCACCATCTGTAACTCCAGTTCCAAGGGCTCTGACACCATCTTCTGGCCTCCTCAACCAGTGTACGACATGGGTGCACATACATACATGCAGGCATACCATACCACTCATACACATAAAATAAATAATAAATAATAAATAAATAAATAAATAAATAAATAAATAAATAAATAAATGTGTGCCTGCCCATGGGAGGGGGCATTTTACCTTCAAACCACAATACTTGGTCATGGCCTTGCCAACAGGAATGTGGCATGGAAGATTGATACTTTTTTGGAAAAGGTAGATGATACCTTCCCATGTAAAGAAAAGTGACTGTTATTCAGCCCTTTCAATTGCATAAGGGCTGTGGGCCTTGATCTGTTTTTCTTTTTAAATGTGTATCTGTATTTTGCTTACTTGTGTGTATCTATGTGTGCATTTCCCACGGAAGCCAGAAGAAGGTGTCAGATCCTTTGGAACTAGAGTTATAGATAGCTGCTAGCCCCATGTGAGTGCTGGGAACTGAACCCTGGTCTGCTATGTGGGCAGCCTGTGAGCCATCTCTCTAGCCTTGTTTCTTTTGTGGAGGAGCCCAAGATTAAGGTTGTTTGAGCCAGTGTGGTGGTGTATGCCTTTAATCCCAGTACTTGGGAGGCAGAACCAGGCAGATCTCTGTGAGTTTGAGACCAATCTGGTCTATATAGCAAGTTCTGGGCCAGCCAGTATTACATAGTGAGACCCTGTCTCAAAAAAAAGAAAAAAAAAAAAAAAGGGATTGAAATTGAGGCCCCATCTGGGGCCACAGGGAGATTCTGTCTCAAAAAACAAAACAAAATCATCTAGGGTGTTTGACGTCTTAGTTTGTGTACTTTGACACCAAGTTAAGATTTTACATAGGCTGAAAAAGACTGAGGTCAGTGCCAAGAGGACAAGTAAATTCTAGAAAGAGAAACTCTGAAATTTCATTAGGAGTTTGGGGGCAGAGTGACTGTGTCACACCCTCTCCTAGTGACCTTGGCAGCTTTCAAACGTGGTCCTGTATGTCTTTTTCAGATCCTGCCTCCACAGAGAGAACGGCCCAGAAACGAAAGTTCCCCAGCCCTCCGCATTCCTCCAATGGTCACTCGCCCCAGGACTCATCCACAAGCCCTATTAAAAAGAAAAAGAAGCCGGGCTTACTGAACAGTAACAATAAAGAGCAGGTAAAGAGTCACTGGGAGCAGCCTCGGCACCAGTGGGTGGGAGGCTAGGCAGTAGCCTTGAGCTCCCTGGCTTTCCAGAGCTGGGTTCTTGGCATTAATGTAGCAAGTTGTCTGACACTGTCATTAGCATAGGATAAAAAGGGCAATTCAGAATGGTCCTGTGTAAAAATTTTCAGTGGGTTTTCAGATCTTCTTTTGGGGACAGTGCAGTGACCCAGATGAGGGGAGGCTATTGTTCTTGGAAGGGGTTGGGGTTTTTCCTTGGGTCAGTTTTTCTCATGCTGGGTGGTCTGAGGGTTTTCCCTCCTGGGTCAAACCAGATGCCTGGAGGGGGCTGTGTGACTGAGACGTGCTCCCTGGCCCCAACATTTTCTCATCTGTAAAATGAAGGTCTAGGTCTGGTTAGAGGCACTGTCTGAAGTCAGCTTTGGTCACAGGTCATTGTCCCTTCCCACTGTGCACAGACCCATCCTCCTGGCAGCCAGGACCGTCAGCTTGACAGGAAAAGGCTGTTCGTCCTGCATCTTGTTGAAAGAACCTTGTAGCTTTACATTCTCAGGTGCAGGCTTCAGATGAGGACAGATGAGAGGAAGGCCCAGTGGCGTGTCTGTACGCTCTGTAACTGAGGTCAGGTGTAGCATTGTCTTTAGCGGCAGTTCCTTCATCCATCCCATGCGTCATGAGCTGGAGTGGGCCCAGGGGAGTGAGGCTTGTATTATAAGCAAGACTGCTGCTTTTACAGGAAGAGGTCTCAACAACGGTTAAATGCCCAAGACTGGGAGTGTGTGTTTCTGAGCATGAATCTATTTTCACTCTCAAAATTATATAGCGAGCGGCCAGCTCAGCCTTGGCTCTGCGGCCCTGAGCAAGTTAACCTCCTGCGTGCTATTGGGTTTCTTGCACACAGAGATGAAGATGGAGGTACTACCGTTCAGCCCACAGGCTGTTAGGAGTATTAACTGAGCATCATCAATTAATTAATGACACAAATAACAATAACAAAAATTGAAAACAAAACCTAGCTCTAGACTTATGTGGCACAGTCATACGTGATATAGATAATCTCTGTAAAGCACTGAAGACCCATGCTATCTGATGTAGCCATAAGCCACTTGTGGCTCTTGGGCAAGAGTGACTGAGGAACTAACTTTTTTATTTTGTTTCATTTAAAGTTAAGAGGCTGCCTGTGGCCATGGGTTAGATGGCACAGATCTAGTCACTTGAAAGTGCTATAATTGTCTCCATTGGATAAAGGGAGGCACAGACATTCAGAGAAGTTGAATTCCCTCCTCAGGGTCTCCGAAGTGCGAACCTGTGCCTGAGGTCAGCTTTGTGTGTCTGGCACGTTGTTGATGACATCCTGCCCCTGTTGACCAGGGAGCAATTAAGTTCTTAAGACCAAAGACTCAGAAAGAAACATGAGGGTTAGGGGGATGGTTCAGTTGCTAAAGCACTAGCCTTACAAGCAAGAGCACTTACTCAAAAATGCTCACATGCTGGTCCATGCTCTAATCCCAGCACTGGCTCTTGAAGATCAGGAGGAAGCTCATTGTTAGTCATTTTAGTCCTATTGGTGAGCTCCAGGCCAATGAGAGACCCTATCTCAAAAGATAGGGAAAGGCGGGACTTGGTGGCACACGCCTTTAGTTCCAGTACTCAGGAGGCAGAGGCAGGCAGATCTCTGTGAGTTCAAGGCCAGCTGGGGCTACAGCGAGACCCTGTCTCAAAAAAACCAAAAAACAACAACAACAACAACAAAAAAATAGGGAAAGGGATTCTTAAGGATGACACCCAAGGATATCCTCTGGCCTCCACATGTTACCTGCCTGTGCCCTTGTACATGACATACATGACATACATACACACACACAAACGAGAGAGGGAGGGAGGGAGGGAGAGAGAGAGAGAGAGAGAGAGACCATGAAACCACAGACAATCTAACTTAATTTAACTGGTAATTCAATTTTCTGGGTAGCACTGTTGTCATCCTTACTAGGAAGTCCCAAGATCACAGAGATCTGCCTGCCTCTGCCTCCAGAGTGCTGGGATTAAAGGCGTGCATTACTACATCCAGCTTGAGACTGTCTTAAAAGAATCAGAACAAAACAAAAAGCACTATAGACTGCATAATAGCTATTCCTCAGTTCTAGATGCTGGAGCTGAGGTTGTCACTCCGTCACATTCTGTTGTGGCCCTGCAAGTGCAGATTGCCAACTCTGAGCTGTGTCCAGGGCTCCTCTTCAGTCACTAATGGCATTCATAAGTACCATACCCTTAGGATCTGATCATTTCCCCAAAGGCCCATGTTCTGGTGGCATCAATTTGGGGCGAGGGTTTCAGTGTGGGTTTGGGGAACAGCAGTGTTCAGAGCACTCAAGTCCTTAGGCCCCTGGTCCTCACCTGTCTCCCTTACCACCTTCCTGTGGTTTCACACTTCTCTCTGTCCCTTCCTTCTGCCTGACTATCTGGGTATTCAGACTTCCCACTTTGGTCTATACAAGATTCTCATCCCACCCCCAAGTTCTTTTTTCCTTTTTTGACAGGGTCCCTCCCTCATCCCAACCCACCTGCATGCAAATCACTATGTGGACCAGGCTGGCCTCAATCTCACAGAGATCCACCTGCCTCTGCCTCCCAAGGGCTGGGATTAAAGGCTTCAGCCACCATGCCCTGCCAAAATTCTTTTTCTCATTTTATTTATTTTATATATGTGTTGGGCACACATGTAGAGGTCAGAGAGCAACTTGTGGGAGTCTGTTCTCTCCACTGTGTGGGTTCCAAGGGTCAAGCTCAGGTTGTCAGGCTGAGGGGCAGGCGCCTTTACCTGCTGAGCCAGTATTCTGTGATGAAAAGTTATCTGGCCCTGTACAAGCCACATAAACTTTGCTTTTCCATATTTGGTAGAGATCTCTTATTATGTGGATATATGTGTTTGGCCAGTTTCACCTATTTTTCACACACTTGGAATTTGGGGGTGGGGGGCAGAGAGAGAGAGAGGAGAGAGAAAGAAACAGACTCTCATTGGATGTAGAACTCAACTACTGCATGCTAAGTACATGCTCCACCCACTGCTAATGTCCCCAGTGGGCATTTTAAGAAGAGCTTTAGAACAGTTAATTTTGAGCTGGGAATGTGGCCCTGTGGTAGAGCACTTACTTAGCGTGTCCCCCCAACCCAAAAGTGGGGCATTGCTTAGAAGCCCTTGTTTAGGTTGGCAGTACAGTAACAGTTGAAACAGGTATATGGCAGGCTGCACTGGGAGCCAGGGCTAGACTAGCTGCTTGTCATTAGAGTCAAGGTGGAATATGCTGCTGTCCCACTGACTAAAACCACTCCAGAGTTAAGGGTCTCCTGGATAGCCCAGGCTGGTCTTGAACTCAAGATTCTCTTATAATCTCTCAGTGCTGGGATTATAGGTGTGCAGCACTAAGCCTGGTGAGGAGCCCATTTTTATAGTTTTATGGGCACACGACCACATTCTCAGATGTGCATTTCCTATCTTGTGCTATAGTGACAGTTTGAATACTTTCTCAGTGGAGTCCTGGTGGCCTGCTGAACCTCCTTCACTACTGCAGAATCCCTTCCAGAAAATGTTTGCTGGCTCTGGTGCAGATGAAAGCATCCCCTGAGTGAGCGAACAGGTCTTTTCCATTTTCTTGTTAAGCTGACCTGGGGCAGAAGCAGGGGACTAAAAACATTTGCTCTGTAACCTGCAATTATCCCCTCATAACACGGGCTGTAGCCTGCCTGCTTTGCTGTTAGGCTGGTTACACATCTTAGATGTGTGGGGGAGAAAAATCAGAACTCATTTTTATCTGAAATTGTTTGCTCTGCTTTAAAAGAAAAAAAGGTCCAGGTTTGTTATCAGCTTATTTTTATAGAGCGGGAAACACAAGCATCAGATAAAAGAGTATGTGATTGATGAACTGACAGTCCTCTGCAGCCACCCATGCTCCAGGAAGTGGGGGTTGTCCTTGAAGAGTTACCTGGCTATCCCCTCCTGCTCCTAAGAATAACCATGGGGGCTTAGGGAGAGCCTGGAGGAAGCTTTTTCTGAGGAATTAGTGGCAGAAATTCTCTAGCATCAAAAAACCAAAAACAAGCAACAAAATGCCCAGCTTTGGGACCGAGCGGACCTGGGTTTCAGAGTAGACTTGGGTTTCAGGTTAGATTATCTAGCAGAATCCATCCTTTTTTTGTTGTTGTTGTTATTTTTTTTGAGATAGGGTCTCCCTGTAGCCCCAGCCAGCCTGAAACTCCCTCTGTAGACCAGGCTGGCCTTGAACTCACAGAGATCCGTCTGCCTCTGTCTCCCGAGTGCTGGGATTAAAGGCGTGCACCACCATGCCCAGCCTCAGAGACTATCCTTTAAGATTGGTTATTGCCAAATTATTCAGGCTGGCCTTGAACTTGTGATCCTCCTGCCTCAGTCTCCTGAGCACTAGGATTACAGGTGTGTGCCACTACCCCCTGGTTTTCTATGGTGCTGGGTATCAAACCTAGTGTTTTATACAAGCTAAGCAAAGCCCCCTGCCAACCTAGCAACACGCTTAGTTTTCTTTTCTTTTCTTTTTTTTTTTTTTTGGTCTTTTTTGAGATAGTGTCTCCCTGTAGCCCCAGTTGGCCTGGAACTCGCAATGTAGACCAGGCTGGCCTTGAACTCATATAGATCTGCCTGTCTCTGCCTCCCAAGTGCTGGGGCTAAAGGCGTACGCCACCACGCCCAACTCAAGTTTTCCCATCTTTTGACTAAAAGTAGTGTTAATTATTTTATGCACCTCTCTCAGTGGTTTGTTGGAATGAAGTAAAGAGGGTGTGTGCAGGGCTGGATCAGTGGGTAACGCACTTGCTATGCAAGCATGAGGACCTGAGTTAGGATTATAGAACCCATGTGGTTCGCTTTTTGACTCCCGACCCTGGGAGTTAGAGACAAGAGGATCTTGGAGACTAAATGGCCAACCACGCTAGACTAAACTACGTGCCCTGGGTTCAGTGAGAGACTCTGTCTCAAAAAATAAGATGGAAGGCCTGGTGTGGTGGTGCAAGCCTTTAATCCCAGCATTTGGGAGGCAGAGGTAGGCGGATCTGTGTGAGATCAAGGCCAGCCTGGTCTACATAGCCAGTTCTGGCCAGCAGGGCTACAGGGAGACTGTCATTAAAGCAAAAAAAGCAAAACTCACAAATTTGAGAAGCTATTGAGGAAAGATACTGTATACCAATGTCTGGCCTCTGTACCTGCCCCCCCCCCCCCAAAGATGGTGTACACAAGAGCTCTTTGAACAATGTACCATAGAAAGACTATCCTAATAATGGTATCCCTTACTGGAAACTGAGCAGCTCTCTCTCCTTTTTAAAATTTATTTTTACTTTAAGTGTATGAGTGTTTTGCCTGCATGTATGCAAGTGTACTCATGCATGCAACTCCCACGTACGCTAGAAGAGACCATCAGATCCCCTGAACTAAAGTTAAGGACGGTTGTTAGGTGCCATATGGGTACTGGGAACCAAATCTGGTCCTCTGCAGGAGCAACCAGTGAGTGCTCTCAATGGCTGAGTCATCTCTCCAGCCCCCAGACCGCTCTGTGTTAACACTTGCACTGAAATATGGGAATAATAAGTGGGCTAAAGAGCTCTGTGGTGACTCTGGAAGACTTAGCTGTTTACTTATTCCAAATGAGAGCAGCGAGATTTAGAAAGATCACTTAACAAAGATGTGCAGATGAGCCAGCACCTGATGCTCTCCCTGAAGGACTGGGGAGGAACCAGGCATTTGAAGAGTACTGAGCCTCAGACTAAAAGCTGGGAAGACACCTGGGCTGCCTGTAGTCCTGGGGGCACCTTCACATCCTGGAGGCTCTAGCCATTCAAGTGGCCCAGTGACAAAGCTCTTGCTTACAGTGTGTGAAGTCCTGGATTTGGTCACCTGTGCTATAAGAAAGCAAAAAAAGAAAATAGGGGGAAACTGCTAGACATAACACAGAAGTTTGATGCTTACTGAATGAGATTTTTAGCCAGCAAAATGTTAGAGCTACTGAGATCTAGGTCAACAAAAAAATCTAACGGCATTTTTGTGTAACTAAGATAGTCACAAAATGTGATAGAAGCTCTCATTTGTTATGGTGAAGGCACGCACGCACGGGGATGTCAGAGGACAGCTTTGTGAATTGATTCTTTCTACTTCTACATTGGCTCCAGGGAGTCAGGCTCTGGCCGTCTGCTTGCTTCGTTGGGTGGCAAGCAAGCACTTTCACCTGCCAAGACATCTTCCCCGCTCTTGTTTTATTTTTGAAACAGGGTCTTCTTAGGATGGCCTCAAATCCACAATCCTCCAGACTCAGCTTCCCAGATGCTGGGATTACAACAAACTCTGCTTGCCCCCTGTAATATATTAACTGAGTTTATGCAGTATCTAGGCACTGAAAGGTCTTTATGGAGAAAGCCCTCCTGTTTTACTGAAGTATAGAAAGCCTTCTGCAGACTCTTGGGTTTGGAGAGTGGCTTTACTCTATTCCAGAAACATTTCTAACACCGTGGGATAGGAAGATGTCTGGTTCCCATGAACTGGTTTATCCTTTCCTCTTGTTGGCTACCAGGGTCCCTAGCAGATGCAGACACCCTGTTCTGAGGCTTATGGCTTTAGAAAGCCTTTTGGAGATAGATTTAAACATGAAGGATAAATTTTGGTGAACCAAATCTAATCGTTTTAATCTTCAAATACCTGTTGGCTTAATGAATGCCAGGGCAAACTGCCAAACCTGCAGTAGCTTTGTATATTTGGATCAAGGCCTATCAGGCTTTGATTGTTATGTAAATGCATTCATTTTGCCTTCCCATTTAATCTCAACACCAGCTTCTTGATGTTAGGAATTTCAGCTCCATTTTATAGATGAGAAAATGAAGGCTGAGAGGTGAAGGCACATGTCCTAGGTCACGCAGCCGGTTAATTGGGGGGGGGGGGTGTTAAAATTTGAGCTCAGGTATGCTTGGGCTGCCTAGTGTCAGATGCAAGCTTTCAGAATGGCCTTTTAACATAAAAAGCAAGGCTTACTAGCTGACCCTTTGCTACTGCTGTGTCTAGTTGAGTAGATGGAGATAGCCTGGCTGTTCAGTGGGTTTGTGAGGTGCCGTGATGTTCGTGTGTTGTTGTTGATGTACTTGTTCAAATTTCTGCTGAGAATCCACATTTGTTTTGAAACCCCACCTGTCTTTCTTGCCTACATTTCAGTCAGAACTAAGACATGGTCCGTTTTACTATATGAAGCAGCCACTCACCACAGACCCTGTTGATGTTGTACCGCAGGATGGACGGAATGATTTCTACTGCTGGGTTTGTCACCGGGAAGGACAAGTCCTTTGCTGTGAGCTCTGTCCCCGGGTTTATCACGCTAAGTGTCTGAGACTGACATCGGAACCAGAGGGGGACTGGTTTTGTCCTGAATGTGAGGTTAGTTCCTGGTGAATGAATATTACCTGCCTCATTTCCTCTCCTTTCTCTTTTCTTCCTTTTGTTTTGTTTTTTTTTTTAAAAATTTCAAATAATCCAAATAGAGGGAAAGAGAAATGTCTTGCCTCCCGCCTGCTCTACCCTGGCCGCCCCCTCTGGGGATCCGCCTCCGCACTGGCTGCAGCGGGGCAGCTCTTGGAAAGACAAACGCCTTGCCTGTCTCTGCTGGAGCGCTTTGAGATCTGCAACTGCCGCCTCTGCTGCTTCTGCCTTGGAAGTGACCTTGCAGGTCCATTAACAGTTGACGCCTTTTGAAAAGATCGCGTGCCGTTTCTCCCTCCCGCGTCATTGACTCACCGCCAGCAGTGGCCCAGCTGGGAAGACCCCTATGGGGTGTGCATTACATGTGGTGACCATCTGATGTTTTCTTTCATGTACTAAGTATGTCTCCAATGCCCATGAGGTGCTGGGGATTGGTCAGCGTGGATCAGTTTTTTTTTTTAGGGGGGAGAAGACAAACGAGACCCCCAAACAAAGTTACTTATAACACAAAGCTGAAGAAAAGACTCTAGAGAAAATGAATGGAAGATGGTAAGATGAAGTTTGGGGGGCACTGGGTGTCCCCCATTAAGAGTTCAGGCCTGAGAAGGTCACACCGAGACATGAGGACTTCCCAGCAGAGAAAGTTGCAGGAGTGGGGCTGAGGAGATGCACTGTGTGCTGAAGACTGCCTACCCCAGTCTCATCCACAGCAAACTAAACTAACCCTTCATTAAGGGACTGTTAGCCTCCCTTTGCCACGCCCAAAGTGATGTTTTTTCCCCCCTAGTATCAAAAGTAAGAGTGTCATTTGCAAAAATCATTTCATGTGAGTCTCTTGGATTCTAAGGTACATTGGCATTAGATATCAATTGAGGAAATTTCCTGTGTATACATTGGGAAGATCACCTATTTCTGTGTGTCGGGGGAGAAGCTCAGTACGGGGTAATGTCTGTGGTACCACTTTTGTGTGGGGAAAGGAAAAAAAGGAGAAGCATGAAAAGAAATTAGATTTCAGATCCACACAATGTTGGCGTTGAAAGGGGGTCCCGCGCTGGTCAGTGGATCCCCTGGGGTTAGTCCACAGGCACAGGCAGAGCACACACTTGGTTAAGCACCACCCTCCTCTGTGTGTGGCGCTATGTTCTTTTTCCCACAGTTTTGTGGGTGGGTCCTTGAGTCTTCACCAATTTTTTTCTGTCTTGAGCAACTCTTCCAGTTGCCCAATGACTCACCAAATAGAGAGTGGTTCTGATAGGATGCTTTCTCTGCCAGTGATAGTTGCCAGTGAAAGATGTCAGAGACAATAGAGATTTATTACCATCTCATGTGGGGAGGGCCCATTGAGGCTGGGCCAGCCAGCGTCTGTTCAGAGTCAAGCTCTTGCCATTGAGCTGGTGTGGCCTCCCTGTCCCCATGGCAACAGGTTGGCTGTTGGTGGCTCAAGTATTAGGTGTGGCTCAACCAAGATCTCCCCAAGTCACTCCTCTGTGCTTCTCTTTTTATCAAGGAAGAGAAATTTTCCCAGCATCCTTCAGCTGAATCCCCTTGGGCTCCTTGGTCGGCCTTGGTCACCAGTTCCCTTGAAAGGTACCCTTAAAAGGCTTGAAAGGCACTCTTTATGTAGCGGGAACTAGGCCCTGCTGGGAAGGAGGAAGGAGCAGAGGAGGGAGGGAGGGAATGACAGGTGGGTAGGCATCCTTTACACATCAGCTGTGGATAGCAAATAAACTGGATTCCAGTGTGCAGATGTGCTATGTCTTAAGATTCAGGGCCCTGAATCTCTTCCAGGGGTGAGCTCCTAAGACAGACAGCTAGGAAATGAAATAGTCCTGCCAACCAGGCAGCTAAATTCACATGCTGTGCATTGTCAGCTTTCGAGAGACAACAAACCACACTCAGAATTCTCTTGGAGTCCCCAGAGATGTGACAGATAGAATCTGATTTCAAATTAATTAGAGCTAGGCTTGGTGGCCTTTAATCACAGCACTTGAGAGACAGAGACAGGTGGATCTCTGTGAGATTGAGGCCAGCCTGGTCTACAAACTGAGTTCTAGGCCAGCTAGGGCTACAGGGAGATCCTGTCTCCACACCCCCCCCTAAAAACAACAACAGCAACAAAATACCTAAATTAATTGGAGAAAATGTCGGCGCTCTCCTCCCACAGATGGGCTGCCAGAGTTCCCTCACACCTCAGGACTTGCTATTTGTATTGCTGATGCTGCATGCATCCCGAGTCCCTGAAATGTGTGATTTAGGTAGTAGAGTCTGGGTACAGTTGTTTCTCTGGTCTTTTCTGTGATGGAAATGTGCCTTATGAAATGACAGTTACACGTTTGGGATGGTGGTGCACACTTGTGATCCCACTGCTTGGGGGAGTGAAACACAAGGATTGGGAATTTAAGGTCAGTCTGGACTACATAGTGAGATGGTGTCTCCAAGGAGAAAAGAGGAAGGGAGGGAAGAAACGAGAAGGAAAGGTAAGGAACAGAAAAAGGAAAAATGGTAAGGCAAGAAACAGGAACAGGCCAGTGTGCTGGCGCACGCCTTTAATCCCAGCATTTGGGAGGCAGAGGTAGGCGGATCTTTGTGAGTTCAAGACCGGCCTGGTCTACATAGTGAGTTCCAGGACAGCTGGGGCTACAGGGAGACCATCTCAAAAAGACCAAAAAAAAAAGAAAAGAAACAGGAACAACAGAAAGAAAAGTCATGACCCATGGGGCTAAACAGAGCTGCCCTTGAGAAGTTTGCAGGGTGCCCTGAGTGGTTCCATCCTTGGCATGGGCAATGGAGTCATGTTTTGGCTCATTCCCATCCCCACATTCTTTTGCAGGGCTCTTGTCCCTCTGCATCGGCAGCATCCTTGAGAACAGCTCTGCCAGTTTCCTAGGCGATAGCTCAGGGTCTCAGGAGGTTGGGGATGGCTGATGAGCTCACATCCTGAGCTCCATCCACTCTCTGTGACCTTTCTTTTCACATCCCATTCTTGAGACCCAAAGGTCGAAATAATGTCACCTTTCCAGGTCCCAGAGGAGCTCGAGTTGTCTTCAGGTGCTGCAGTTGCTCCCCGATGCAGTCAGACATGGATTGATAACTTTTTAACTTTTGCCCTCAGATCCAGTACATTTCGGTCTGGTGGTTTGGCGTCCTGGTCATGCGGAATGGCTGTTCTCAGTTAATGGGGATTGCTTTTCACGTGTGAGCGCGTTAAAAAGTAGGTCAAGGCGTGCGTGGGCAATCCTGCTGTTTCTTGCTAACCACCTGTGTGTGTGATTTTGACTCGTAGAAGATTACAGTAGCCGAGTGCATCGAGACGCAGAGCAAAGCCATGACAATGCTGACCATTGAACAGCTGTCCTACCTGCTCAAGTTTGCCATTCAGAAAATGAAACAGCCAGGGGTAAGAAGAACGTTCCTGCTGCCGTGAGCCTAAATGACCATGGTGGCATCCTTCGCTTTCATGTCCTTATGCGTCGTTCCCTGGTGGCCTTCATTTCAGGACTCTTGGTAACTTCCTGTGTGTCCAGATTCAGAACTCTGTAAGCTAGAGGGGAGATACAATGGCATTCGGTTTATGCCCTGTGTGGTGTCCCTAAGTGTAGTCAGGAAATGTCACTTAGCAGACGTGGGTGGGGGACTTAAAGTTCCTCCTGGCTGTGAAGTGAAACTTCAAACCCCATTGGCCAAGGAGGAACTCTGTGCCCCTTCCCAGGCCTTCGTGAAATACCACTTTTGTGCATGGAGTGCAGCCCAGTTTAGTTAGAACTTCATGTTTAGGTAGAGGCTTCATGTTGGAATCATCAAGTGGAACAACCAGTGAGATTTTCACAGCCAGTGAGAATGTGCCTAGTTCCTTAGGACTGTGAAGTAGTTTTGAGACTTTCTTTTCAGAGAGTCTGTGAAGATTGGGGCTGCCACTTTTGGCTGGCAATTTGTGTACCTTACGGTGGCAACCCTCCTGACAGTCTTCAATATACCAGCACTGTTGTGGTTGGTGTGTTTTATTATGAAAAATGTCAGAAAAATATCTTGTTTAATTTTTCTTGTGATAGTAGTGATTGAACCCAGGACCCTGTGAATGCTAGGCAAGTGCTTTACTACTGAGCTGTAGCCCCCAGTCTTAAAACTATCATGTTTAACAATGTATTAAACCCAGTTATGCCTGTCTGTAATCCCAGTACTTAGGAGGCAGAGGCTAGCAGATCAGTACAAGTTCAGTTACCTTGGCCATGACTATATAGAGACTCTGGCACAGAAAACCATACCAACCAAATACCCCCCATGACAACCCCCCTGCCCCATCACATTAAGATAGTACAGTTGACCCCTACTGCAGTTCCCTACAGGTGAATCTGAGGAACCGGTGATCCCCCTCCATATGCTCAGAGCACCCTTCAGTCTAGTGAAATTCTTTTGTTTTCTAAGTGAAATGAATATACAGAGATTAGCATCTCAGTTCTGTGTGTTCACTGGTTAAGACTTTTTTTTTTTTTTTTAATTTACTTTATGGGTACGAGCGTATTGCCTGCATGTGTGTAAGTGCACCCATGTCGTGCATTGACCTCGGAGGTCAGAAGAGGGCATTGAATCCCCTAGAATTGGAGTTATAGACAGTTGTTAGCTGCCATGTGGGTATTGGGAACTGATTCCGGGTCCTCTGCAAGAGCAACCAGGCCTCTTAACTGTTGAGCCATCTCTCCAGCCCTCTGGTTAACGTCACTTGTTTTTTGTTTTTGTTTTTTCCCCCCAGTCTTTTTTGAGACAGGGTCTTTCTGTAGCCTCAGCTGGCCTGGAACTCACAGAGATCCACCTGCCTCTGCCTCCCAAGTGCTGGGATTAAAGGCATGTGCCACCACACCGGGCTCTGGTTAACTTCTTTATAAAAACAACACAAAAACAAGGGCCAAGGGCCTGTGAGATGGCTTAGTGGATAAAGGTGCTTGCCACCAAGCCTACTGACCTGAGTTTGATCCCTGGGACCCACATGGTGGAAGGAGAGAGCTGACTCCTATGACTCCTGCAGGTTGTCCTCCTCCCCACACATACCCTGAGATGTGTGTGCCCACATACATACACAGAATAAATAAGTAAATAAATGTAATAATAAAGAATATTAAAAGCCAAAAAGTAAGCTTTTGCTTTGAGATGTATTCTGAACTATATTGTTACGTGGAAAAAAAAAAAAAATCCAGAGTCTGCCTGCCATTTGGCTATTGTTAAAATGGGAAACTATTTTTTGAATCCTGATCATTGTAGGTAAGAGTGTGTAGCCACAGTTTGGTACAAAGAAAAAAAAGATAATTTTAACTTTACCATGGAGTGATTTTTTTTTTTTTTTTCTGTTGAATGTGACCAGGAATCACTTCTTACTCCTCTTAGCCTAAATTGTGCCCGCTAAAGACTGTTTCTCAAAGGATCGTGTAGGTTAGACAACTGGTTAGAATTTGTGGCTTTATTTTGGGGGAAGGCAAGGGATGCTGGGGACTAACCCTAGAGTATTATGCCTGCTAGACAAGTGTTCTACCATAGGGTTACACCCCCGAGCCCAGCTTTGTACTAGTCAAACCTGAAAGAGAGATGGAAGAGTGCATTAGGTTGTCATACATGGTATGTGATATAAATGTCACCCAAGGCAGAAAGCTGTAGGCTTGCTAAAGTATGTGTGTGTGTGTATGCGTGCGTGCGTGCATGTGTGTGTGTGTGTGTGTGTGTGTGTTTGTAGTCCTGTGTGGTAGAGAAGCTCAAACTTGGGGCCTGGTTTATGTTAGACAAACTGCTGCTGAGCTACATCTCTTACCCTGAATATCTTTCTTTTTACACTAGCCAAATTTTGATTCTGAATCAAAGAAAGCTTGTGTGCAAATGAAAAGCTCTTTCAGATGGCTTGTTTGAGTATAATTTAACATTGAGTCAGATCTTTTGTTTTTAAAATATTTTATTTAGTTAGTTTCTTAATTTTATGCATATGAGTGCATTGCCTGCATGTATGTAAGTGTACCCATGCTGTGTGATGCCTGAGGAGGTCAGAAGAGGGCATTGGATCCCCTGGAACTGGAGTTATGGATAGCTGTTAGTGCCATGTGGGTGCTGGGAACTGAACCCAGGTCCTCTGCAGGAGCAGCCACTGCTCTTAACTGCTGAGCAGCCTAGATCTTTTGTTTTTAAAATATTTTATTTATTATTTTTATGTGTATGAGTGTATTGCCTGTATGTATGTGAGTGCACCCTGTTGTGCAATGCCAGTGGAGGTTGGAAGAGGGCTTTGGATTCCCCTGGAACTGGAGTTAAGGACAGTTCATAGCCGCCATGTGCATGCTGGAAATCGAACCCGGGTCCTCTGCAAGAGCAGACAGTGCTCTTAACCGCTGAGCCATCTCTCCAGCCCCAGATCTTTTTTAAAAAAATATTTTATTTATTATTTTTATTTTATGTGTACGCATGTATTGCCTGCATGTAAGTTAGTACACCCGTGTCATGCAATGCCCACGGAGAACAGAAGAGACTGTCGGATCCCCTGGAATTGGAGTTACGGACAGTTGTTAGCTGCCATGTGGGTGCTGGGATTTGAACCTGGGTCTTCTACAAGAACAGTCAGTGTTCTTAACCGCTGAGCCATCTCTGTTTTTAAATAAAGAAGTTGATGCTTCCATCCACAACCAGCCATGCCTTGCACCTTGAGTTGATGCAGGTAGGGCTTAAGAAAATGGACTGAAGGTGGAGAGATGACTCAGTGGTTTAGAGCATTTGCTGCTTCTCTAGAGGACCAAATGGGTTCCCAGCATGCTGATCAGCTGGCTCACAACCACCTATAACTCCAGCTCCAGGAGAATCTGATGCCTCTGGCCTCCTTTGGCACCTGTATTTGCACACACATACTCACACATATACACAGAATTTTAAAAAAGAAGAAAAAAACGGACCAAGATCAAAAGCTTGCTCATTCCCTTGTGTCCAAGGCAGTCTGACTTCTTGAGGAGGAAGATCTCACAGTGTAGATTCTCCTCCAGGTGCATATCCTTTGTTAGTACTTGGGGGATGTTTTCTGGTTATTTTTTTAGGCATAATTTTGGGTCCATTTGGGCTGTGATGCAGACTACCACACAGCAAGTCTCCTTTAAAATTCTGGCCTAAAGTGTCTGAGAAGAGTGTTATAATTGTCAGCCTTAATAGAGAATATGGCATGTTCCTTGGGTATATACAGAAATCAGAACAACCAAACCAGACGTGTTCATTTGGGCCCAAGACTGTGTGAGCAGGCAAAATTAGAAGGTGGGTCAGCTTGAGCTTTCCACCGTCATCCTTTGAGGTTATCTTTAGAACTGTTAAGGGAGTGTCTGGTTTTCAGACTCCTTTGCTGCTATTAATACGAGGTCTTCTCCACAGTGATGGGTTTCTGCCTGTGCCGTCTCTTCTTTTACAGACAGATGCGTTTCAGAAGCCCGTTCCATTGGAGCAGCATCCTGACTATGCAGAATATATTTTCCATCCCATGGACCTCTGCACGTTGGAAAAGGTTGGCCTCCATCACAGAGCCTGGCCTCCGAAGCCGGCAGGTGTCCAGATAGCTAAGGATCCTCCCCAACTCCCCTGGCCCTAGCTCAAGTTAGCTTATTATCTCCATGTTTTCCTGCTCTGTTTTCTTTGGGATAGACCTCCCTGTCCTGCCTCTGTGAACCCCTCTGACCTCACTTCTGAAGGCTTTTCTCCTAAAAGAGCCACTTTTTCCTGAATGAGCCACAGCAGCTAAGATTTAGCGATTTGATTGATTGGCCCCTTACTTCCTCTCTCATTCTTTCCGAGGTGCTAATGAGCACAGCAGGAAAGAGGAAGAGAAAATTGAGTAGCAGATTAGCAGTTAAGGCTGTGGCTTATTAGAACTGACTTCACTTTATGGATCAGGCTATTTCTTTTATGCCTAAAGGTGCCTTTAAGAGTTTGTGCTAAAATTCCATGATGAAAATCACACTTGAAACACTGATTGTGCACCTATCCTGGGTGCTGATTTTCAAACTTCGTAGCTAAGTGTGGCTAATGGAACACACCTGCAAAGGGCTGGGATCTCTTGCCTTCCTTGTGCGAGGCCCTGGGTTCAAGCTCCAGCTCTGAAAGAAAAAGAAAGCCTTCATGAAGAGGAATGTGGCTTCATGCTGTCTCTACTGATAACTCCTCCAAACAGTAAATCTCATCTGCTTTTGAAAATTGCAAACACCCTTCTATGATGGGAGAAGAAAGCATTCCAAAAGGACAAGGTTGGAATCCTAGCTTCAGGTTACACCTCAACTTCTCCTTCTGTAAATTGGAGATAGTGATTAAGTATGGCACTGACTTTTCATGAGACTCATGTGATATCTTAGACCGTTATTGTAATTGATACTCAGCTATAGAAATTGTCCCCTTCATTGGAAGGAGCTGCCTGATAAGTGACACCAGCTTTAAGCTGAGCCCATTCAAGTCACTGTGTGTATTTTTACAGGGCTATAGATCTTGAACATAATAGCATCTTGGGAAATGAGTAAGAAGAGCATTAATTAAGTTGGCAGATGACTGCTGTGAAAGTTCTGGGGGACGCAGGTGTTAGTGACCGCCACTTACGTAGACTGTAGACTCACTGGTGACAATTCACTGTGGCTTCTCTTCCCAGAACGCCAAAAAGAAGATGTATGGCTGTACAGAAGCCTTCCTGGCTGATGCCAAGTGGATTCTGCATAACTGTATCATTTATAATGGGGGTGAGTGGCTTGGTGCTCCTGAGGAGAATATGCTGTGTATCTGTCACAGTCTCCTGCCCTTTGTTAAAAATCAGGCTTGAGAGTCTCGGGAAATAGTCTCTAAAGTGTTTGCCAAGCATGAGAACCTGAGTTTAGATTCCCAGCACCCATCTCCAAAGCTGGATGCTGCAGTACACATCCATAACCCCAGCACTGGAGAGGTGGAGACAGGAGGATCCCCGGAGCTTCAAGGATCATTGAGCTCCAGGTCTTAAGAAGTGTGAGCCAGGAGCCTGGAGAAATAGCTCAGCGGTTAAGAATACTGACTGTTCTTGTAGAAGACCTGGGTTCGAATCCCAGCACCCACATGGCAGCTAAGAACTGTAACTCCAGTCCCAGGGGATCTGACAGCCTCTTCTGTCCTCCGTGGGCATTGCATGACACAGGTCTACTAACATGCAGGCAGTGCACACATACACAAAAAAAAAAAAAAAAGAATAAAAAAAAAAAAAAAAGTGTGAGCCCGGAGCCAGTCGTGGTGGCACAGGCCTTTAATCCCAGCACTTGGGAGACAGAGGCAGGTGAATCTCTTGTGACTTCAAGGCCAGGGTGGTCTACGTAGTAGAATATGGCCATCTGGGGCTACAGGGAGATTTTTGTCTCAAGAAATAACCAAAAAACACGACGACAACAACTGCGGAGGAAGGCACCCGGTGTAGGCCTTTTGCCTTCACACATGTGCACACACATTCGCACAAAGAACAATCATACTTGAGCCACGCTTGGGGCCAGTACCCAGAATCCCTGTGTGTGTACAGGTAATGGGTGAAATAAATGTTCTGGGTAGCTTGCTTTTTATTCTGTGTGTGTGTGTGTGTGTGTGTGTGTGTGTGTGTGTGTGTGTACACAGTGTGCACTCCTGCGAGTGCCTGTAGAGGCCAGAGACTGATACTGGGTGTTTTCTTCTATCACTCTCTACCTTCTCCACCTTCTTTCTGAGACAGAGTCTCTTGCTGAAGCTGGAGCTCACATTTCAGCTAGACTAGTTTGCCACCAACCCTACTGAGCCATCTCTTCAGCCCCTGAATGGTGTTCTTTTCATTTCTTTGAGCTCTTCAGTGGATGCGGCCCATGTATATACGTTCATATGTGAAGCCAGAGGTCAACCTCATGCACTGTCCACCTTTTCTTTCCACTGGCCTGGTGCATGCCCAGAATAACTGGCCACAGGGATCCACCTTTCTTTGCCTTCCCAGCATTCGATGCAAGCGTGTACCAGTACATCTGGCTTAAAAAAATATATGTTGCTGGGTATGGTGGCACACACCTTTAATCCCAACATTCGGCAGGCAGAGGCAGGCAGATCTCTGTGAGTTCAAGGCCAGCCTGGTCTACATAGTGGGCCCCAGGAAACCCGGGGCTACAGGGGGCCCCTGTCCAAAAAAGAAAAAAAAAAAAAAATTTCTCATTGTTATTATTTCTGCCTTTTTGAGACAGGGTCTCCCTGTAGCCCCAGCTGGCCTGGAGCTCACTATGTAGACCAGGCTGGCCTTGAACTCACAGAGATTTGCCTGCCTCTGCCTCTGCTGGGATTACAGATGGGCACCACCATGCCTGGCTCATGCTTATTATTTTTTAAGTTATTTGTATATATGTGTGTCTGTGTGTAATCATATACATGTCTCTGCAGTTCCTCGGGAGGCTAATAAAGTGCTCGGCTCCCCTGGTCCTGGAATTATAGGTGGTTATGAGCTGCCTGATGTGGGTATTGGGAACTGAACGCAGGTCCTCTGCAAGAGCAGTTAATGCTCTGAATCGCTAAGCCATCTCCCCTCACCCTCAGATTTGTGTGTCGGTGCTGGGTATCAAACTCAGGTCCTTATGCGTTCTTTGCACACATTTTACTGATTGAGCTATCTCTCCAGCCCAAGAGATTTACAGTTTCTGAAACTGGGATCAAAGAAAGCTTGACCCCTTGACCATCTTGAACTCTCATTTAGTGCAGAGGTGAAGAAAAACTTGAAGTTTGACCTGGGGCCAGATGCTCACCTCATTAGCTGGGAGCTCTCAGAGTCAGGGACCGTTGACCTTGGCTTACTCATGAATTAAATGACAGCCTGGCTTCTTTTCCATGTAGCTTCTGTGAGAATCTAGGTTAGCACTGGGTAACCCTTTTCCTTCATTCTTTGTATTCTGGGATTTAGGGGTCAAATTAAGCTCCTTTTCTGCTAATTGGTCCCTTTAGGATATCCCAAAGTATTTTTCAAATATTAATCTCCTGATGTATAGGGCATCTCACATGAACCATTCAGTTGTAAGATGCTGTTGAGCTGTGAAATCTTGGTCGATTCTGGTGGAAGAAATCAATGATTTGAATTAGCGTTAGGTGCTAGAAACTTAGACTTTTTAGCCTTTAACTGCCAAGTCCTGGGGGAAGCAGGTTAAAAGATGCTGGTTAGTGGATGTGTAATCCTAAAACGTGGTGTTTGCCGTGGAACTAATCCCATTTTCTTGTTCCCTTAGGAAATCACAAATTGACGCAAATAGCCAAAGTAGTCATCAAAATCTGTGAGCATGAGGTACGTGTTTCCTGCCCTCATGGTGCAGCCGTGTCCTAGGCTCCTCAGGGGAGCCTCAGGGGTAGGTAGCCTGGGTGATTTTGGAATTCTTGAGGCCCCTTGTCTTTGAAGCACAATTGCTGTTGATTGAGGCATGTTTCAGTCCTCTTAGAGAGGTTTAGGTTTGGATTGAAGGGGTCAAGCCTGCAGTCTCTCTCTCTCTCTCTCTCTCTCTCCCCCTCCATATATATATCCCTGACTGGTCTGGAACTTTCTGTATGGAGAGAGTTGACCAATCTGGAACTTGCAGAGATCCATCTGCCTCTGCCTTCCACGTGCCAGGAGTAAAGGAGTGTGCCATCATGCCTGACATTCTCTCTCATTTCATAATTTTTTTTTTTTTTTTTAATGTAGTTTCAAGTCTTCTCTGTTTTCCTAGCTAATTAAATGCTCAGGAAGCACCGAATCTTACCTGGCTGTATTGTATTCCCAAATACATGACTGTGTATTTAGCCATTCCTGTTTCCCACGTTAGGCTTTTGGCCTACATTCTCAGTCAGGTGATGTGTGGCTGCCTGTCCACTTGGGTGCACTGTTCCAATGTAAGTTTTCGAGAGAAGCTCTGAATGCAATAAAGGCTTCAGGCACCTGCTTAGCTGTCTCATCCGCCCTGGAAATCATAGTGGCTTAGATGAGATGGACTGTTGGGAACGGTCATCAGTTGAATGCGCCTCCAAGGAGTTCTCACCTGGGACTTGGTTGAGCCAGTCTCACCTTTGAAAATCATCCAGCAAACTGTAGTTCTGTGCTCTTGTAGTCCCAGCACTTGGAAGGCAGAAGGAGCACTTGAGCCTCGTACTTTGAAGCCGGTTTGGGCTGCATGGACTATTTCCTTACTGTTGTGTCTCCTCCCCTCCCCCGCGCCCCGAAAGAAGAAAAACTACAAAAGAGGAACCAACCTTGAAATTAAAGTACAAATACTTGGGGCTGGAGAGAAGGCTCAGTGGTTAAGAGCACTGACTGCTCTTGCAGAGGACCGGGGTTCGATTCCCAGCACCCACATGGCGACTATGAACCATCCTTAACTCCAGTTCCAGGGGAATCTGAAGCCCTCTTCTGACCTCCGCGACATTGTACGACACGGGTGCGCTCACATACATGCAGGCAATACACTCGTACATATAAAAATAATAAATAAAATATTTAAAGTACAAATACTTTAGCTGGGCATGGCGGCACATGCCTCTAATCCTGATACTTGGGAGGCAGAGGCAGGAGGATCTCTGTGAGGCCAGCCTGGTCTACATAGTGAGTTCTAGGCCAGCTGGGGCTATAGGGAGAAAAAAAAGGTACAAATACTTAAAAAAAATCATCAATGATTTCTTGAGGGCTGCCAGATGGAGGCCTGGGGTTATACATTGTAATGTCTTTCTGCTTTACAGATGAACGAAATTGAAGTATGTCCAGAATGTTACCTTGCTGCTTGCCAAAAACGAGAAAACTGGTTTTGTGAGCCTTGTGTAAGTTGGCGTATGCCTCTCATTTTATTTTCTGGAACTCCATGCCTTCAGTGGCTGTACCAAGATTGCTTTCTCCAGCAACTTAGGAGATTTTTGAAGTTTAAAAAAAAGAATTATTTTTATTTTATGTTTATGAATGTATGGTGCTTGTTAGCCGCATGTGGGTATTGGAAATTGAACCTGGGTCCTCTGCAAGCACAGGTAGTGCTCTTAACGGCTGAGCCATCTCTTCAGCCCCCAGAATGAAACCAATTTGAGTTGGATAAACCTCTTAGGCTGAATGGTTTGTAGGTGCAGAGCTGGTATCCTGATAGCTGGGCTGATGAGCCCAGCAAGTTGAGTAAAGGAGTTCAGGAGGGATGTGGGATGTGGGACATGGATTGTGGGACATGGATTGCGGGGCGTGGGATGCAAGAAGTGGGATGTGGTATGGGGTTGTGAGGTGTGGCAGAACCATATTTGGAATTGGATGAGTGTTGGTGGCTGTGTCACTTGCAAATCAAGTTGGACCTGTTTTAAAGAGTTTAGAAATACATCCCTGGAGGATCATCTCAATCTTTCCAGAGAGACCAAGGTTCATGAAGATGCAACGTTACCTTCCTGGACCTTCATTTCCAAACTTTTTTTTCTTTCCCGTTTTGGGCATTTCTTGATTCCAGTATGTTTTGCAGAGTGGTACATTGTGGGGTGGGCTGGCGTGAGTGTGCCTGTGAGAGGCTTGTGGAAGGCGGCAGGACTGGACAAATGACCTCAGGCCTTCTTGCCTCTCTAGATAAACCCCTGAGTAGCTCCAGCCTGTGAACCTCCCAGTGGGTGACTGTGGCTCCTGCAGCCCCTGACCTATAGTACTTTTAGTCCAAATTGAGCAGAGAGTGGGTGTTAACTATCTTTGTGGTGCCCAGAGAGGTGAATTCTCTTGTTCATGGTCACCCAGAGCCAGGACACAAGCCTTATTTTCCATTTAAGCCCCTCTGCTTCTCTGTCTAAGCATTGTGGCTGGACCTGCCAGGGGATCCTTGGATGCTTGCCCAGCTTGCAGCTGTCCTGTCCCGTGTGTGGCCCTATCCCTTCCCTTCTCACTGCATTTGCATTCCCCTTTCAGACGTTAATGTGTATCTTTCTGCAAGATATATGCAAACTCTGCATTTTGTTTTTCTTCTAGAGCAATCCACATCCTTTGGTCTGGGCAAAATTGAAAGGATTTCCATTCTGGCCTGCGAAAGCTCTGCGGGATAAAGACGGACAGGTTGATGCTCGTTTCTTTGGACAACATGACAGGTGAGAGTTTAAACTAGGGTTTGAATATGTAGCTTCAGTGGAACCTTTGATAACCTTGGATATTAAAAGTGGTAGAAAGTCTGCTCTTATTTCCATTGTGTTAAAAAGCGAATTCTGTGAGTATGGCTATTGTTTATTGTCATGATAACAACCATTGATCTTGTATTCGCAAATGTTTTCTGGTGCTGTGTTAAGTGTGGGCTTCAGTTTTTTCAGGTGTGATAGGAAATAATCTTGCCTTCCTGGTTCTGTTCATGGATCCAGCATTGGAATGAGTTCCATGGCTATTTGAAGTACTGCAGTTTGATAATTTATTTATTTTATTTTCTGGAGTAAATTAAACCTCTGTGCAAATTGCTTTTCAAAACTAAAGCTTTCAGGGATCAGAGGTAGTTTCCCAGATTGTCAGCAAATGAATCTCTTAGCATTAGGGGGAGTAGTCCCCTCCTGGTTGATCTTTTCTCTATAGCTAAAATGGGAAATTACAAGGGGATGATGTTTTGACAGGTGTGAGCCCTCCCTCCCAGCCTCTCCACTCCCCGCCCCTTCCCTCCTGCATACACACAGTGAATAAAATTATTCTAGCTAATAGCAGCTCCCTTTGGAGCCAAGCCCCTGCCTGCCTGGAAACTACAGGTAGTCAAAGTGGAATGTGGCTTAACATCTTCCCTTTCAGCAAAGTACCTTGTGATTAAAGAAGCAAAGAGCCCCATCCCCACCCCCCAAGCAGTTTGAGGTGTGTGAGCGCATGGAGGGATACTATTTAAACATACACCATTAAAATTATGTACACTCGTGAAAAATATAGTTCATATTTCTAAGTGAAACCAGCATCTGAGATAACACTCTCTGTTAAATTTTGCTTGAGATTTCACAGATCAGAGGAAAGTGTGAATTTCAGAGTGATTGAATTCTTCTCCAGAATCTCAGCAGCTCCTTCTCAGGAGATGAGTTCAATCCATCGAGGTGGTATTGGGTTGGCAGGGAGCATCACACTTTAATTTGAACCACTCTTTTTCTTTGAGACAGGGGCTCATGTAGCCCAGGCTGGTCTTGAACTCATTCCTCATCGTTCTTCTACATTCTTAGTGCCTGCACCACAGACATGCATGCAGCACGTTGTGTCCTATTTATGTGATGTTAGGGATGCAACACAAGACTTCCTGCATGCTGGGACTGGGCAAGCACTGTGCCAGCTGAGCTACATACAGCTCCAGTTCTTCAGCCACTCTGGTTGGAAATCTTTCTGAAGTTTAATATTTCTTCATCGAAAGGAGTTTGCTTGTTCAGGCTGCATAGATGCTGGGTTACAACTGTGAGCAGGCAGACACTTGTCTCAGTGAGCAAGTAGGCTTGCTATCTCCTGTCTGTATGTAATGGCAGGCTTGGTGTAAAGATGTGTGGGGAGGGAGCTGCAGGGGCACAGGACTGCTCAAGGAAGGGCTAGGTTGTGAGCAAACTCTTCAAAGCCACTGAAGCAGGTTGTTTGAACTGGTGCTCCGGAGGAAAGGATGATTAGGGATCTGCTTTCTCTTTGAAGGTCAGGATGAGCTGGTGGCTAGCTGTACTTCCCCCATCTCTTCATAGAGCACCTAATGATTAAGACTGTGGGATAGCACCGTGTGGATGTATCTTGAGGGGTGTAGGTGAGTGGGTGGGCACGCCATTTACCAAATGTTCTCAGGCCCCCAGAACTCATGGCTCTGTTTCCCTCTTCTATGACCACCCTACCAGCCAGCCATTAAAGGTGGCCTTGGGGGCATGAAGGCCACATGAATTCTTGTGCTCTGTGTAAAGGCTATCTCCCAGCACTCAAACAGTCTGTCCTTGGACCTGGCTGGGAGGTAGCCGGAAGCAAGGCCCTTCCTGTTCTATTGCAAGCATTTCCTGATCTCTCTCAGCTTATGTAGTGTTTAGTGTCCCCTCTAAGGGTCTGTGCTACCTGGTGGGCTCATTTTGGGGAAGGCAGTCCACTAAGGTCAGTTCACAGTGGTGTGTTACGAACACTTTGTAGGGGCAGGGTGTGGGTGGCTGGGAGCTGGATGGAGTACAGAGGCTTTCTTAGTTCTGAGTGAGTGCCCTTACCTTCCCACATGGGTCTTAAAGCTGAGCCTGGCAGGCTCTCCACAGCCTGCTTTAGTAAGATAGTAGCACTGTGACACAGGGACCCAAGGGAGGCGTCCAGGAGGTATTGTAGCTGTCTGTGTCTCAGAGAGCTCACTTGGCTTGGTGGAGTCAAAGCAAAAGCTTGGGCCTGCGACAGTGAACTAGGTCAGGACAACTGGCTGAGAACCATCCCAGAAACCCAATGCTGACTGTCAATCAAGTGATCATCCTAGAGTGAGCTGGAGTCCACTGCATAATAGACTTTTTTGTTTGTTTTATCTTAGACACATATGCCATTACCAAAATTACAGAAACTTATGCAAATAGTTGCAGAGCTTCAAGAAATACATCCAGTATTCAAGTGTCTACTGTGTATGCAGACAGGGTTTCATTGTGTGGCCAGCCCGGCCTTAAATTTGTCTTCCTTCTGCCTTAGCCTGATATGGGCTGGGATTACAGACGTATACCCTTGGTCTAGCCACTAGGCACTCTATTTGCTGCTTTGCAATAGCTGCTTTTTTTTTGGTCTTTTTGAAGCAGGGTCTCCCTGTAGCCCCAGCTGTCCTGGAACTCACTATGTAGACCAGGCTGGCCTTGAACTCACAGAGATCCGCCTGCCTCCCAAGTGCTGGGACTACAGGCGTGGGCCACCACACCCTGCTGTAATAGCTGCTTTTATCCCAGTCTTGTAACCCTAACCTTTGCCCAGGGTCACTCAGCTGAGAGGGATTCTTGTACCAGAGCTGAGGCTGCTGAGCCCTCTCTCACATAACACACTTCTCCCAGAGGCTTTCTATATGGTAAGACAAATCTCACTTCCCTTTAACAATTTCCTCAGCTTGCTTTAAAGAACAGGAGCTGTGTTCCTGCCTTGGCCCCTTGAAGGCACTTGGGGACCTGGCGTGGGGAACAGTTACAGATGGGGGGGGGGGGGGGGGGGGGGGGGGGGGGGGGGGGGCACTGTCTTGGGACTGTGGCCCCTGGCTGGGAAGCCCCTGGTGGTGCCTGGCACCTGGCTCAGAGCAATTTTTTTTTAGGGGGGGTGTCTTTTTGAGACAGGGTCTCCCTGTAGCCCCAGCTGTCCTGGAACTCACTATGTAGACCAGGCTGGCCTTGAACTCACAGAGCTCCTCCTACCTCTGCCACCATGCCCTGCGGCTCAGAGCGGTGTTGTTTGCTCCTCTGTACTCTCTCCTAGGTTGGGCTGTCAGGGGCAGCCCTGGGGGTTTTGGTGACTTCTCACATCTGCCCTCAGGTTGGAACCTTTTCCTTGTTGCTCTTTGAACCCTGGTCAACTTCCTTGCCCCTGGCTGGACCTGAGGGTCTCAGGTTTCAGCAGAAAGTTGTTCCCTAGGACACATGGGGAGCTGCTCATTTCCAGTACCCTGACAGCAGATAGTTGTTTGGGGTGCTTGATTGCAGTCAGCCTGTGCACTGAGTTCTGCTAGATGCTTAGGCCTTAATTTCATGTGCGTTTCCTCTTCAGCAGACAGGAATTCAGTGCCAGCTGTTGACGTGGGGGGTAAGTCGCTGTAGAAGAAGCCCACTGCCATCACCTGTGTTGATTGTTCTGGAAAAGCAGCCAGTGGTGCCTGTTGGTCTAAGGACTCTGTAGCGCAGCTGGAAAGCTGAGGTTGATGTAGGATGGGATGACCCTGGAACTGCAGGCAGAGGGGCTCCTTGTGAAGGCCAAAGGCTGCTTTTTAGAGTTTTTAGTGTTTATTTTCTCATATGCAAAGACATAACTGCCAGGCATTCAGGAGGCGGAGGCAGGGGGATCCTGAGTTGCAGGCCAGCCTGAACTGCATCAGGAGATTCTGTCAAAAAAGAGAAAACAAAACGAAAGCATGAGCACCTCCTTCTAGGAATGTGATTTTGCAAAGAATAGTCCCTTTTGGAATTAGCTAAGAAAGCTCCCCGTCTGGTAGCCTAGAGAAATTTGGGAAAATAATCCCTTTTGAGATGTGTCATAAAAGATGTAAAAAGTGTTTTCTTAGTCTGTACCAGCTGAAAACTGAAGGGATTGATTGCATTGTTATTTTTGTTTTGTACATTTATTTACTTGTTTCTGTGTATGTGCACGTGTGTGTCATACATAGCACATGTGGAGGTCAAAGGACAAGTTGTGGGAGTCAGTTCTTTCCTTCCAGCATGTGAGTTCTGGGGATCTGCATCAGGCTTGACAGCAGGCGCCTACACCCGCTGAGCCATCTCCCGGGGGCCCTGATTGTGTTTCTGATGGATTAAAATGGCTAAGTGTGATGAGCCTTTTAACATCCTGGCTAAGTTTTTGTTGTTCCTCTTTGCAAGGCTCTGTGAAGTGGGTCATTCATTAACCATTCAAACCAAATCCTTTATTTAAAAAGGAGAACCCACATTTAAGAATCTTGGCAATCATGTTAGGCTAATTTGGTTTGCATTAAGAAATTAAAAAAAAAAATCAAAACAAAAACCAATCTTGGAAATGACAGAGCTTGACTTGAACTCTCTCTCTTTCTTGCCCTCCTAGGGCCTGGGTTCCAATCAATAATTGCTACCTCATGTCTAAAGAAATTCCTTTTTCTGTGAAAAAGACTAAAAGCATCTTCAACAGCGCCATGCAGGAGATGGAGGTCTATGTGGAGAACATCCGGAGAAAGTTTGGGGTTTTTAATTACTCTCCGTTCAGGACGCCCTACACACCCAATAGCCAGTACCAAATGCTCCTCGATCCCAGCAACCCCAGCGCCGGCACTGCCAAGACAGACAAGCAGGAGAAGGTGAAACTCAACTTCGACATGACAGCATCCCCCAAGATCCTGCTGAGCAAGCCCCTGCTGAGTGGGGGCACTGGCCGCAGGATCTCCTTGTCTGACATGCCACGTTCCCCCACGAGTACAAACTCTTCTGTGCACACGGGCTCCGACGTGGAGCAGGACCCTGAAAAGAAGGCCCTATCCAGCCACTTCAGTGCGAGCGAGGAGTCCATGGACTTTCTCGATAAGAGCACAGGTCAGCCCTGGTTGGGAGAGTGGGTAGGAGGCCACTTGGAGCATTGTGGTGTCATTGGATGCTGCACCTGTGGGTGCATCGGGAAGCTAGCAGTCACCAGGGACTGCAGTGGACTGTGTCTTGTAAATGAATGACCAGATCATTGCTTCCAGGGACCCAAAGTCTAGCTGGAGGTCATTCCTAGAAATGGGTAGAAATGACCAGAGCCCTGCAGAATTCAGTGCTAGCATCTAGGCTGTTCCATGACATCATTTCTTCCTTGACACGTCATAGTTGAAAATTTAATCTTCTGACACGTCGTAGTTGAAAATTTAATCTTCAGTACATTCCTGTTAAGTTTAGCTCGGTTGTTAGAGAAACATGTAAGATAAAAATGAACAGCTCACTCCCTTCGAGGTGAACTTGTGTCAAAGTTGTGTTTTGGGGATGCACTCTCACCACTGGAGGGTGATGTTGCTTTGGGCCAGGTGCTTGACCTCTTTCTGCTCTACTTTACCCAGGTTTCCCTTGACAACCATTACAGGCTCCTCGTAGGTTTGTAAGGATAAAATGAGTCAGGACCCACAACAAGGCTTAGAGCAGTTCCCAAGGTAGTGCTTCAGAAACCTTGGCTCCTGACTCACTTTTCCTGGTGATTCCTAATCTGCCTTTGTTGTTCTGAGAAGTGGTATAGGGAGCAGGGGCACTTAAATAGAACTCTTTCTCTCCAAACAAAATTGGGCCACACATTTAATATTTATGATTTTTTTTGAGATGGTCTCATATACTCAGGCTGGCCTTGAACTTCTTTTTTTTGGGTCCTTTTGAGACAAGGTCTCCCTGTAGCCCCGGCTGGCCTCGAACTGACTGTGTGTACCAGGCTGGCATTGAACTCACAGAAATCCACCTGCCTCTGCCTCCTAAGTGCTGGGATTAAAGGGATGTACTACCACGCCTGGCTTCAAAAAGGGCTTTTATAGGACCCTGAAGATGCATACCATGTATTGAGGTCAGCTTCTGTCTTCAATTGGTGCAAATGGCATCAGGCTTTGCAACAAAATTTCTTATTTTTTGAGTGACTTTTTTTTAAGGCACAAACTTAGTGGAAATCCCAATTATATATATTTCAAAGTCTCTTTCTGATAATATACAACTCTCACCCTGTATATGTTCCAGATGTTTGGCAATCCTGCTAGATAAGACAAAGCCGGATGTGGTGGCGTTTTGAGTGTGGTTATCCTGACATTTGGGAGGGAGAGATAGGAGGATCAGGAGTTTGAGGACAGCTTTGGCTACATGAGATCCTTTCTCAAAAACTACAAAATGCCAAACAAGCCACAACTCAAAAAAGAAGGAGTGATAATCATTTTATTCCCAATAATACTCGATCCGTGTTGGTTTGTGGACAATGGAAGTTGAGACACCCCCAAACTGAAGATCGTACAGTTGAGACCAGGGGTCTGCATACTACCATGTCAGAAAAGCCTGTCATGGCTCAGTGTAGAAAACTGTGCTGGTAGGTTTTGGTGTCCAGAGTGCTAACCGTGACATGATGGAGCCGCGTACATAGCTTTCAGAGGAGGAAAACCTGCGGCCAGAAACATTAAACTACACATTAGATGAGCATTTAGAGACCCTTCTTTTTTTTCTCATTTATTCATGTGTGTATGTGTATGGGCATATGTGTGGCATGGCACATGTGTGGAAGTCAGTGAACAACTCAAAGGAGTTGATTCTCTTCTTCCACCATGTGGGTTCTGAGGCTTGGACTATGGTCCTAAGGCTTGGTGGCAAGCGCCTTTACCTACTGAGCCATTTCACTGGCCCCCGAGACTCTCCTTTTATTGGGAGACACAGGAACTCCGCCTTGTGTTCATCGCTCCTAGAACCAGAGTTAGCTTTCTAAGTAGCACTCTGCCCACCAGGAAGCCTGTGGCTGCCAGTGTCCTGGAATCCTGTCGCCTTGATGGACCAGGCAGTTTCCATTCTCGGTGACTTTTGTTTGTTTGCCCTTTAGATGGGCTGCCTGGCCAGGTGGAGGCCTTCACCAGTACTTACATTTAGGTTACCAGTGGAAGATGTTAAACATACTGTAGGGAATTGTCCTGGGGCCTGGCTTGCACGCCCTTCTGAGCTAATGATGCTTTTGACTAGGAGTTCCCACTGTGGGCTTCCTGTCAGGGAAGTGTTTTTTTTTTTTTTTATCGTGAAATCAATACTTTTTTGTCATAAAACAGTTATTTATGACATACTAAAGTCGTTATTGATCTCACCTCCCATGGTTAGCTCTTCTCTGTAGGGTTACATGGCATGCTATTAAGAGAAAACTCAGGGGGCTGGAGAGATGGCTCAGTGGTTAAGAGCACTGACTGCTCTTGCAGAGGACCCACATTCAGTTCCCAGTGTCCACAAGGTGGCTAACAATCATCTGTAACTCCAGTTCCAGAGGATCTAACACACTCTGTGGCTGGTGAAGGCATTGCATGCACAGGTATACTTGCAGGCAAAACATTCATACACATAAAATTAAAAAAAAAATTTTTTTTTAAAAGAAGATGAAACTCAGCCATGTACCCAGAGTCCAGCAGGGAGGGAATGAAGCTTGGCTGCTGAGAGGTGGCTGGGCTTGGGGTCAGTGGAAAGCACAATATATGTCTCATCATGTCCTGGTATGTACATTTCCCAGAGGATGTTTACGTCTCTTAGATTTATTTCTGTGTTTGTGTTTCTCTCTCTCTCTCTCTCTCTCTCTCTCCCTCCGTCCCTCTCCCTCCCTCCCTCCCTCCCTCCCTCTGTTTTGATGTATGTGTGTGCACATGTACACATGCCACAGTGTTTGTGTGGAGGTCAGAGGACAACTTGAGAGAATCCATTCTCTACCATGTGAGTCCCAGGAATTAAACTTAGATCATCAGGCAAATATTAAAGTGTCAACTCTGCCGGACATGGTGGTGCACATCTTTGATCCCAACACTCAGGAGGCAGAGGCAGGCGGGTCTCTGTGAGTTCAAGGCCAGCCTGGTCTATATTAGCGAGTTCCATGTCAGCTGGGGTTACAGGGAGACCCTGTCTCAGAAAGACAAAAAATAAAACAAAATAACAAAGTGCCAACTATTGTCCAACTTTTACATATGGTTCATATATATATATATATATACACACACACACACACACACACACACACACACATGCAGTGCATACTGTAGGTTAAACCTATTATATATTTATTTAGTACTGCATTGAACTCAAGGCCTTGCACATGTTAGGCAAGCAGTCTACAACTGAACTAGCTATACCCCCCAGGCCAAAACAAGTTTTTTTTAAGACCCATTATCACTGCTGTATCCTGGGCCCCTCTTCCTGTGTCTGCCTCCCAGGTGCTGGGGTGATGGTCACCCGCCATCACCTCTGGCCCCAAATTAAAGAAACAAACCTTACTTTGCATCTAATGCATTTGGGAGCTTAATTCATGATTTGTTTACAGACATGAGCTGGAACTTGTTTTCTTTTTTTGAGACAGCCTCGCTATTGTGTCTAGGTTGTTCTCAAATGGCTTGACTTAAGGGATCTTCCCTGCCTCAGCTTCCAGGGTAGCAGGGACCATGCCTGGCATGGTTAGCTTTTCTGAGTAGGTTTCTGTGTTTGTAAATAGCTATTTAGAACAAGCTTTCATTCTTTTTAACTTTAATTTATTGAAGATTTAGTTTTTAAATTTTTTGGTCTTTTTGATATAGGGTATCCCTGTAGCCCCAGCTCTCCTGGATCTCAGTCTGTAGACCAGGCTGGCCTTGAACTCACAGAGATCCTCCTGCCTCTGCCTCTGGAGTGCTGGGACTAAAGGCGTGTGCCACCATGCCCAGTGTAAAGATTTATTTTATTTATTTATTTTTGGTCTTTTTGAGACAGGGTCTCCTTATAGCCCCAGCTGGCCTGGAATTCGCTATGCAGACCAGGCTGGTGTCAAACTCACAGAGATCCATCTGCCTCTGCCTCCCAAGTGCTGGGATTAAGGTGTGCACCAGCACGCCTGACATTTTTATTTTATTTTTAATTATGTATATGTGTCTGTGTATGGGTATATGTATGTGAGTGTAGGTATTCATAAAGGCCAAAAGAGGGCGTTGGATCCTCTGGAATTGCAGTTACAGGTGGTTGTGGGCTGCCTGATGTGGGTGCTGGGAACTCTTCCTCAAGAGCAGTATGTACTCTTAACTGCTGAGCCATCTTTCTAACTTTTCATTTTTTGTATATGTGTATACACGTACACATTCATGTGTATGAGTGGGTGCATGCATGCCATGACACACATCGGGCTTGCTGTCAAGTTGGGAGACAAGTTCAGGTGTCAGTCGTGGCCCTCCACCTTGTTTGAGGCGATCTTCTGCTGATTCCTGCTGCTTCTCCCAGCCGAGGTGGCCTGCGATCATCCTGGGATTCTCCTGCCCCTGCCTCATATTGCAGCACAGGAGAGTGGTGGGGGTGGAGGGTGGGTTACAGGCGCATACTGGTGCTCCTAGCTTTGCTTAGGTGCTAGGAATCCAAACTCAAGTCTTTTTATTATTTATTTATTTATTTATTTATTTAGTCTTTTTTTTTCTTTTGGTCTTTTTGAGACAGGGTCTCCCTGTAGCCCCAGCTGTCCTGGAACTCACTATATAGACCAGGCTGGCCTTGAACTCACAGAGATCCGCCCGCCTTTGCCTCCTGAGTGCTGGGATTAAAGGCGTGTGCCACCACGCCCGACCTTATTTATTTATTTAATTTTATGTGCTTGGGTATATTGCCTGCATGTGGTAGGTGTACCTGTGTTGTGTGATGCCCATAGAGGTCAGAAGAAGGCATCAGTTCCCTTGAACTGGAGTTACAGATAGTTATTAGCCACCTTGTGGGTGTTGGGAATTGAACCCAGGTCCTCTACAAGAGCAGTCAGTGCTCTTAACCACTGAGCCATCTCTCCAGTCCTTAAACTCAAATCCTAATGGTTATACACTAAGTGCTTTCTTTATTCACTGAGCCATCTC